ACTTAGACAAATTGGAGGATTGGGCCACCAGAAATCTTATGAGGTTCAACAAGGACAAGTGTAGAGTCCTGCACTTGGGACGGAAGAATCCCAAGCATAGTTACAGGCTGGGGACCAACCAGTTAAGTAGTAGTTCTGCCGAAAAGGACTTGGGGGTTACAGTGGATGAGAAGCTGGATATGAGTCAACAGTGTGCCCTTGTAGCCAAGAAGGCTAATGGCATATTAGGTTGCATTAAGAGGAGCATTGCCAGCAGATCCAGAGATGTCATCATTCCCCTTTATTCGGCTTTGGTGAGGCCGCATCTAGAGTATTGTGTCCAGTTCCGGGCCCTCCACTACAAAAAGGATGCAGACACATTGGAGAGGGTCCAGGGGAGGGCAACCAAAATGATTAGGGGGCTGGAGCATATGACTTATGAGGAGAGGCTGAGGGACTTGGGTCCGTTTAGTCTGCAGAAGAGAAGAGTGAGGGGGGATTTGATAGCAGCCTTCAACTTCCTGAAGGGAGGTTCCAAAGAGGATAGAGAAAGGCTGTTCTCAGTAGTGACAGATGGCAGAACAAGGAGCAATGGTCTCAAGTTGTGGTGGGAGAGGTCCAGGTTGGATATTAGGAAAAACTATTTCACTAGGAGGGTGGTGAAGCACTGGAATGGGTTACCTAGGGAAGTAGTGGAGTCTCCATCCCTAGAGGTGTTTAAGTCTCGGCTTGACAAAGCCCTGGCCGGGTTGATTTAGTTGGAATTGGTCCTGCCTAAAGCAGGGGGCTGGACTTGATGACCTTCTGCAGTCTCTTCCAGTTCTATGATTCTATGAAGTGAGGCATTGACACAGCTCTGATCAAACTACACATAAAAAAGGTCTCTGTCATTGGGCTTCTCACTTCCTGGGCAAAATCAGCCAATAGCTGGCATAAACTCAGCAAGATATTCTGTAGCCACTCCCCACCCAGATATACTCTGCTATAGGTGGACACAAGAGACAACCAACCATATACATTGGTCTAGAGCCAGTTTCCCTTCCTTGACAGCCTGTTTCTCAGCACCTCTCGCCACATCAGTGAGAGGAGTAGAGTCTGCTTGATGGTTATCAGCACCTGCTTTGTGCTGCATTATTGAGGTAGCTCCTACGGGAATTGCTCAAGCCAGTTGGAAGGAGAGGAGATCCTCCGCCCCACAGGGCGCCTCCGTGGTGTCCTGTCTGTTTAGCCTGAGTAGCCGGGCCAAGTCTGCAATTGTTGGGCTCTTCCTCTGGGCTTTACAGTTCTTGGAGGTGAGTCAGTGCTGCAAGGTAGCCTGGGCTGCTACCCTCCCTTCCCCAGCCTCCTACCAGAACTTCTGCCTTCATCGCAGCAGGGTGGAGTTTGCTTGCTTTGGGTGAGACTCACATTCAGAGGGGAAATCATACACTTGCATTGCTCTCTGGGCCTGCACCCCAGGGTCAAACTCAGACTCTGGTGTCTCTGCAGCAACCCCCAGTACCTCCGGCATCCTCCACTGCTGCACATGGTGTTGTGTTGAGCATGAAATCAGAACAGTCTTGCCTGTTCTCTCTACCCAACCATATCGCTGTCAACCAGATCTCTAGACTTTTACTCTGAAGTAACACTCCTCTCTTCCCATGAGCACCAGCTGGCCTTACACCCCTCCCGCTTCTCCAGCGCTCATGATTCATACTCTGGAGTCACTTTTCACCCTTCCAGTGATAGGAGATTCAGCATGCATAAGCCAGATTTCCTTCCACATCCCTACCTCACTGGGTGGCTAGCTGGCTCCTACTGGATCAATGAGACCTTGCCGAAGATTTAGCTTTTCCCAATCTCTTAAGTGACTTCTCCACACTGCACTAACTACCATGGGAAACCATGGATACATTTTTGGATGACAGGCAGTAGATTAGGCTCATCACCCAAGTAGAATGGAGGGATGATAGGAGTTACTATAGAGAACTTTCTGGGTGTCTGGCTGGTGAGTCTTGCCCACGTGCTCAGGGTTTAGCTGATCGCCATATTTGGGGCCGGGAAGGAATTTTCCTCCAGGGTGGATTGGCAGAGGCCCTGGAGGTTTTTCACCTTCCTCTGTAGCATGGGGCACAGATCACAGCTGGGGGATTCTCTGCATCTTGGGGTCTTCAAAGTATTTGAAGGCTTCAATATCTGCGATATAGGAGAGAGGATTATTCTAGGGGGGTGGGTGAGATTCTGTGGCCTGCACTGTGCAGGGGGTCAGACTAGATGATCATAATGGTCCCTTCTGACCTTAAAGTCTATGAGTCTATGAGGTAGCTGATGGTTTCACAAGGTTGTACTTAGGGGAGCCAGGCCAAGCCAGTGCTTATGTGGTCCTAGCTTGCACACAGCTAGAGGACACAGCTAGGAAAGCTGAAAATCATGCCTCCCAGCTTAAAAAGAGAGGTAGCCTATATTACGTGACTTTTCCCAGTCACTGAGGAGGAAGCTGGGATGATTCAATTCGGACCGTGGATTCCACTAGGAAAATTGGTGACATAACTGCTACAGGAAATCTTGTAATAATGTAACAAATCCTAGCCTTCACACAAGTCTGCAGAACTGAGCATATAGTATTTCTGTTTGCTACAGCCCAGAATTCAGTCCAGGCACTACACCAAGGGAATGTTATAGATTTACTTCATTCATTTGTCTGTGTGGATTCTGATAAGCTCTTCCCGGTCACAGCATTTGTCTAATTTCCAGTATATCGAACACAGTGAGAAATAAGAATAGATAATTTATTCACAAACACATACACCATGGTGCTGTTTGAGCCAGCTGCAAGCTATCATCTTTGTCTCCATTTCTCTCTAAATCCTAAGATTCCTTCTACTTTAACGTTGGGATGATGGTGTTACACAAAAAAAATACAGACTATTTAAGAAGAGTGACAAAGAAAGTATACAAATATTTATTTTTAAAGGAAAAAATAAAGACAGTATGAATTTAAACTTTAACTAGCTCAGTCAATGTTTTCTGTACATTTGAGCTAGAAGACAATCATTTTTCCTTGTAGTTTGACGTGAGTTTCAACCTATTTTCCTATCTTTTGTTATTATTGTAAAATTGTTTTAAAATATACATTGTGAGCAAACATAAAAAAGAGATTTTATATATATCAGTTCAGTCAACCAAATAGTGGCAAAGGACATAAGGCATGAACGTTACAAGTCAATGGATTTTGATGCTTTGATCGGGGCTAAAGTGATGCTTATTTTGTTCTTCTTGAAGTCCCTGTCAGAGAGAGGACAATTATTAGAATATAATTCTAGTACACATTCATGTTTTGAAACAACATTACACTGAAGTCCGAAATGGGTCTCTCAAAGGAACAGAATATTGATTTCAACAAGACGGTATAAAATTCATACTAGTTTATTTTAGCCTTCTTTGGAAAATAAATGGGAACAAACTCTACAAAAGATGATTGCCGTTAACCTTGAATTGCAGTGGTTTAAATATTTTTCATATTAAAACCAAATATTTCTTATGAAGTAGAACTTAGAAGATGCATAGAAAACCATACACAAACTTTATACGTATTTCTGTGTTTTTAATTATTTATGGTGCTGCTACTAGCATTTGAATGGAATAGATCAGTGTTTCTCAAACTGTCCTCCGTGGAGCCCCAGGGCTCTGTGAGACTCCAATCAGACAAGCCTGCTCTTGTCTGATTCAAAGAAACGGGGCTTTGGGTTCCTTCTCTGTAAATAACAAAACTGTGTCATGAATTGTCTCTCCCTCCATTTTCCCTCCTCTCAAAATGTGGCAGAAGGCCCTGAATACTGGCTAAATGTTAGGCCCAAAAGGGCAAAGTGAATGATGGGAAAGGAATTAAAACAAGACATAAAACAGGATCGTGAGTCTTTATAAGAGGCACTGGAGGAGCAGTGGCCGGTGTCCCAGAAGGGACTGAGAGGTGCCTGAAGTGTAACAAAGTCTTTCTTGAGTAGCAGCTCCCAAGTGTCCAGCCAGACTGAGAAGCCCAGCTGCAACATTCCCAGTCTGCAATGACATGGCAGATAACAAATGACAAGAAAAGTGACTCGCCTGGATCAGAGGGTTTCCCAAGAACTAGAGGAGCCTGGGAGATCTTTGCCTGTCACTGAATTTGTTAACAGTACTAGCTGCAGCAGGGATTTAGAAGCTAAACATCAGTGTCAGAGGGAAATCAAAGGCGTGCAGACTAAGAATGTTAAATATCAGTTAATTGAATAGTTGATTAACCTCATGAATTCTTATCGGGTAGTCAACTCTTCTGTAGTCCCCATGCAGACCCTGTCCAGGGGTGAGGGGTCTGAGCTCCCAGACCTGGCATAAGCCAGAACTGACCCGGTCTGCATGCCCAGCTGGCTCTTCATACACTTTAAATGCAGAGCTCCAGCTGGCCAGCCTGCTAAAAAATTTATTGCCAAAGGGTTGGGATGGGGTGGAAATGCATGTAGTTTATAGATTAACCTATAAGCTTTTGCTGTGCAGTTAATTGGTTTACCAACTACACTATTAGGGTATGTCTACACTTGCCCCCTAGTTCGAACTAGGGAGACAAATGAAGCATACTGAAGTTGCAAATCGACTAACTATAGACACGGTAGTCCAATTTAAAACCCTTTCCTCGAATTAACGAAGAGTACCAGTTAATTCGAGGAAAGGGTTTTAAATTGGACTACCGTGTCTATAGTGATTTCGGTATGCTTGATTTGCCTCCCTAGTCCGAACTAGGGGGCAAGTGTAGACCTACCGTAATAGAATAAGCATCCAAAGGATACAGCAGAAGTACATTTTTTTTAAAATGATGGATTTTGGTATGCTTGATTTGCCTCCCTAGTTCGAACTAGGGGGCAAGTGTAGACCTACCGTAATAGAATAAGCATCCAAAGGATACAGCAGAAGTACATTTTTTTTAAAATGATGTGACATTATGTATGATTCCATAGACCTAAAGTCTTTCAGACATTACTTTGTCGGGGGAGGGAGAATTGTCACTTTGAAAGCTTGTAACATGACAGAAGCATTTTGCAGAAGTCCATAGAAAACCATCTTACACATTCAATTACAAATAGTCTTGGCCAGGAACCATGATTTCCCTTGTGTTTATATAGTACCCATCCTAAGAGTGCCACTCTGCCATTCTCTAAAGTCTAGAATGCCTCAGGAAAAACTAAGAAATCTTTTAGTCAGGTAATTCACCAGCATAGTAGGTTAACTGCAGATTACTTACATCATGTGATACACCTAGGATATACCAATTTCCCCTTCACACATTGGGTTCTAAAATCAGAAGATTCTGGGTCCCTCACATGTCCCCGTACACAGGCAAATTCAACAAAGTCTCCGCTTTGTAAATACAATTTCCTATCATCTCTCCATCTCAGCTGAATGTTGTTTTGTTCCATCTCATCTGGGGATGCTGTACATGGCTCTGTAAACAGAAAAATGTCACATATTTCTGCACATGGGATTTCTTATGGAAAATCTAAATAACTGTAATTGTATTAACAATGATCTGTTTTGTGCCACCTTAAAAACTAACACATTGATTTGGGCATAAGTTTTTTGTGGTCTGAAACCCACTTCATCAGATGCACAAAGTGGAATGTTTAGGTTGGCAGGTGTATATGCAACTGCAATGATGGGAATGTTACATTACAGTGCAGAGAACCACTGCTGACAAAGTCAGTCTATCAGGGTGGATGTGGCCCATTCCCAACAGTTGCTGAGATGGTGTGAATACCAAAAGGAGGTAAATTACTTTTTGTAGCGAGCCAGCCTCTCCAAGTCTCTATTCAGACCCACTCTGAGGGTGTCTTTAGACAGCAAAGTTATTTAAGAATAACGGTCATTATTCTGAAATAACTATGTGAGCATCTACACAGCAATCATCGGTTAATTGCAGATTACTTACGTTGTGTGATACACCTAGGATATGTCAATTTCCCTTTCACACACTGGGCCCTAAAATCAGAAGATTCTGGATCCCTCACATATCCCCTTACACAGACAAATTCAACAAAGTCTCCACTTCGTAAATACAATTTCCTGTCATTTCTCCATCTCAGCTGAATGTTGTTTTGTTCCATCTTATCTGGGGATGCTGTACATGGCTCTGTAAACAGAAAAATGTCACATACTTGTGTACATGGGGTTTCTTATGGAAAATCTAAATAACTGTAAGTGTATTAACAATAAAGTGTTTTGTGCCACCTTAAAAACTAACACATTCGTTTGGGCATGAGTTTTTGTGTTCTGGAACCCACTTTGTCAGATGCACAAAATGAAATCTTTCAGTTGGCAGGGCTTTGTGAGGGCAGCAGTCTATACAGATAGGGGACTCCAGGCCTGTCTGCAGACCAAGGCAGCCCTACAAAGGCCAAGCCCTTAGTCAGAGCAGGGCAACAAACAATACAAGTAGTTCACCAGGGTTAACTCTCAGGGCTGAATACAGCGGAATAGGGGTCAGTCTCCTCATTGGCGGAGAGCCAACAAGTGCAGGGGGTTTCACCCCACTGGGGGAATCTGCCACCCAAAGAAAGGGATAGCAGGGAGGACATGGGCCCTCCCTACTCCACCGCGTCCCAGCCCAGGGCCCTAGTAGTGGCCGCGCCACAACCACTGGATTGACGGGGCTCCAAGCCGTAAGGCTCTAGTCAGCTACCCCTGGCTGCTTCCTGGTCTCCTTGGGGGCCTGCCTGACTCCACAACTGTTCTATGGGATCCACTGGGGACAAGGTGCTGGTAGCATGTCCATGGGCTCTGAGTCCGGCTCAGGCAGGGGTCCAGATAGACCAGCGCAGTCATCAGGGCCTGGGGAGATTCCTGGGGGTCCTGGCAAATCTTCAGTTCCTGGCAGCGGTGTTGGCAGACCTAATCAGTCCTCCAGGCATGGCAGTAGCCATGACAACCTTGGACAGCCTTTGAGGGCCAGCAGCAGCCCTGGCGGCTCAACCCAGTCCTCCCATCAAGGGCAGCACAGCTGGACCTTTCTCTTCTGGAGCTTGGGCAGAGCATCTGGCCTGCTCTGCAGCTGAGCTCCAACTGAGCTTTGAGCTGTGATTCTTATACTCCCGGTCCCACCTTCCTGTGGGCAGGACTGGGGGAGTCTGGTCTTGCCCACCAAGAGGTCTTAGGGAGTCCTTCCTCTTCCAGCTCAGTGGGAGGCCATGCTGCAGTCCTAGACTCATTATAGTCCCCATCACATTGAATCTATAGTTGGGATTATTTTTTGCAATGTGTATTACTTTATATTTATCAACATTAAATTACATTAGCCATTTTGTTGCCCAATCACTCGGCTTTGTGAGATCTCTTTGAAGTTCTTCAATCTGCTTTGGTCTTAACTATCTTCAGCAGTTCAGTCTCATCTACAAATTTTACCACCTCACTGTTGAGCCCTTTCACTAGATCATTTGTATAAATAAATGGAATAGGATTGATCCCAGGACAGACCCTAGCTACCTCTCTCCACTCTGAAAACCAACCATGTATTCCTACTCTTTGTTGACCCCATCAAAGAGCTCTGGTAGATTAGTAAGGCATGATTTCCTTTTACAGAAACCATGTTGACTTTTCCCCAACAAATTATGTTAATCTATGTCTGACAATTGTATTCTTTATTATAGTTTCAACTAATTTACCCAGTACTGACATTAGACTTACTGGTCTGTAATTGCCAGGACAACCTCTAGAGCCCTTTTTAAATATTGGTGTCATTAGGTACAGAAGCTGTTTTAAAGGATAGGTTACCAACCACAGTAAATAGTTCAGCAATTTCCCTTTTGAGTTCTTTCAGAACTCTTGAGTGAATGCCATCTGGTCCCAGTGACTTGTTACTGTTAAGTTTATCAATTTGTTCCAAAACCTACTCTAATGACACCTCTATCTGGGACAATTCCTCAGATTTGTCACCTAAAAAGAATGGCTCAGGTTTAGGAATTTCCCCAATATCCTCAGCCTTGACAACCGAAGCAAGTTTCTCGGCAATGACCTTATTGTCTTTAACTGTTCCTTTGACAACTCGATCATCCAGGGGCTCCACCGGTTATTTAGCAGGCTTCCTGCTTCTGATGTTTTTAAAAACATTTTGCTATTACTTTTTAATGTTTTGGCTAGCTAGATTGAGGATAGATGAACAGAGACAGAAGATTAGATTCTGTTTTACCATCTGGCCCCTTTATGTCACTCATCTGATACAAAGGGGCCATAAACTAGCCAGAGCTGGCCAACAGAGCTCTCCGTGTGGTAGAATATTCTCTCCTACTATAAAGCTGACACATCAGGCTCCCTATTGTTCTCCCTCACCCCTTTGCGCAGGAGACATGGCAGAAGAGAATAGGGCCATAGCCCGTTAGAAAGTCCCTATAAAGTCATGTACATAACATACCCATCCATATAATCAATTCACCAAAATATAAGAACCACACAGAGGTAGCTTCATAGCTAGACATCACTGCACCACAGTGTACTCTAGCCACTCCTCATGAGTATCCTCCATGTGCTGAGAGTGAGAGAGGATGGCACAGAGCAGGCTACATACGTTGTATGCCAATTACAGCTCCCCCTGGGCAAAACTCAAATCTGTTGCTGCTTATATAGGCATCAAGTCTACTCCAAAGTACTTAAAAGTAGTAAGTAATATTCCTCATCCTGTCCCATAAATTCTTGGATTAATTTGGATTGTCTGACAGCATGTACTACAACTGAAAGCTTTTTGACTAAAAATGTTGGTTTCATTGTAATAGGGTTTTATAGGTTTTGACTGAGATGTTATTTGGGGGATCAATACATTCTGCAGACTCATAGTGGCACGTTTGCTGATCTTTTCTTTCAAAAGTGTGCAGTGATCTCCCTAGAAAGAATGCGAGTCTCCCCCACCCATACTCCAGTGTAAATGAGCAGTGACTTCATTCAGACAGATGAATGTATCTGGTATTATATCAGTACATGTGACTTCAGAACTGGGCCCATAATATTTTAAAAAACAAACAGAGTTGTATATTTAATCACTTTTCTTATATCACAACTATTAAACCTACCTAAGCAAACTGGTGGATCTGTCCAGTGGCCAGACTGACAGTGAACAGACTCAGATCCCTCCATTACATGAAAACTTTGGCATTTGTATCTCATTGTAGAACCTGATTCATACTCTTTCTGTGCAAACCCAACGGTGTCTCCATTAGCAATAGCAGGTGGTGACCCACACTTTCCAGCAGCCTCTGAAATTAAGTATAAAAATAGCGTATAGTTGCAACAATGATTTCCAAAATGAGGGGAGCAAGGGAAGATCGCAATTATTACACAACAGCGCTATCAATGTACTCTGATAGAACTGGAAACATGCCAGCGGAAATGTAGAAAATCCTCTTGATACTGGAGCTGAACATAAAAACCTAAAAGTCACTTTAATATTTACTGTATTACCAACAAGCAGGATGGAACTGATGGCAAAATAGGTAACTAGCTGCTCTGGCTTTGCCAAGATCTGATTCCAGGTCACTCTCCACTTACTGGGAGATCGATGCTGTGCAGATCAATCTTCTGAGGTTCAATTTAGCAAGTCTAATAGGGACATGCTAAATCAACTGCTGATTGTGCCTCCATTGATTCCGATGGGCATCAATCGATCTTCTGGTAAGTGGAGATGTGGCCTTACTTTGACTTTGTACCCTAATCTATACCTGATGCAAGAAGAGAATGTAGATTAATTTGAGTTACCTTAGGTCAATTATCCTTGCCCTACTAATGACATTCTTCTGCCTTAAACACTAACAACAGGGAAATGAAAAATGAGACTCATAGAAAGGGAAGTGGAACTGGGGTAAAACAAGCATAATTCTGAAAATGCTAAGGCTACAAACGTACATGAGTAGTAAAGGAGTTCCCTGCAGAATTGCGATGATCAGCAGTGGTTCAGAACTTCCACACGCGGAAGGCCACTTTCCTGGATCTCTGTGAATGGTTCACCCGTGCCTCAGGCAACAGGACACTCTCATAAGACCCGCCATCCCCATGCAAAAGACTGTGGCCATTGCCTTCTGTAAGCTTGCCAGGCCGGACAGCTACTGCTCAATCAGAAACCAGTTTGGTATGGGGAAATCCACAGTCGGGGCCGTGCTTGTCCAGGTAGCCAAGGCCATCAACCTCATCCTGCTGCGGAGAGTCATCATTCTGGGCAATGTGAAAACCATCCCCAAGAACTTTGTCGTCAAGGGCTTCCCCAACTGTGTGAGAGGGGGCATAGATGGACGCACATCTCTCTCCTGGCCCCCAACCACCATGCCTTGTAGTTTATCAACCGCAAGGGGTTCATCTCCATGGTTCTGCAAGTTCTCATGGATCACAAGGGACGCTTCACTGTGTCAGCCGACAGTCAGGGCAGTGTGTGTGTGTGTGTGTCACCCAAGTCTTTAACTGCTAAGACACGAGGTCTCGTCGCAGCGGGCAGCCAGAAGGCTGAAGGGAGCCCCGAAAGTTTAACGTCCGTGTCTTTACTGCTAGGACCAGCCAAAAGGCCAACAGACACCCCTTTTTATAGGAAGAGCTTATTGCACCTTAGATTTTAGCTGCCAGAACACAGGGTTCCTTTGCAGCAGGCAGCCTAGGAAAGGCTGAAAGGTGCCCCAACGGATCTGTCACCTGGAAGTGACACAGATACAAATGCCCAAGCTCTTCCTATGCCTGTCCCTTTATGACCGGCTGAAGTTCTTTTAAATTGTGCTTGGTTCTATTACAGCAACTGAAGGAGTCAGGTTAAAGCTTAAACAGTTACAGGTTTATTAAAAGACTTATAAAAGCATATGGTTACCATGGCTATTGCTCTCTTTCTTAACTGTTAGCAAATACAGACTTTAAAAATGGTTACAAAGAAAATAAAGATAGAAAATAGAAATAATGGTACCAAGTGACAGCTTAATCTTTAAAGAGCTCTAAGTCTATGTGTACACTTAAGACAAAGGACCACATCCAGGTACAATTTTAACCCCCTTCTGTGCCTCTCGACTCCAGCGAGTCAAGCCAGGGCCAGTCCATCAATTCCTAGGAAAGACGAATATGAGGTGGGCGTCCCCGTGGAACCTCGGGAGGTCAAACCCCTAACCCGACCAGCAGATAGATGGTAGATTGACACTCAGAGTAAATGTGCTGCTGGACCCATCTTTATACCCATTGACACACAGAGTAAGTGTGCTGCTGGACTCATCTTTATACCCCTGGGGGCCTGTATTCTCTTTCTTATCTTAAGATGCCAAATTGTACTGGTCCATTTTGTGGTGCCAGTTCTTACAAACAAGTTTCAAGTAAATTTACACTTGTAAGAGAGGAAGATAGCTAAATTAGGAGTGCCAGGTGTTCTTGTTGGGCGGGAGATTCCACCCCCCGTGGACGGCTGTGTGTTCGTATCAATATGGGTTAAGTCAAGGGCACTTTTGTGCAGCCTCTTAGTTTGACCACCCTCTTATCTCTGCTTTCAGTTGTCCATGGTCACTGAGCAAGCATATCTGAACCTCCTGCTTCAAGGTTTTCAAAGATCATGCTGTTTTTCTGCTCTGTGTGCCCTGCATGCTTTCAAGCAGACAAAAATGGATGTTAAAATGGGGGTTCATGTCTGGCTACACACTGACGTCAGCACTGGAAGGTCGGCAAAGACGCACAATGCTCACATACTCCGGAACCCCTGCCTGTTATGAAAAATGCACATTGGCACTTTACCAGACCACACACACCATCAGAGTCAGAGAGCAGGACATGCCCATTGTGATCTTGGGCAATGCAGCCTACCCGTTAGTCCCCTGGTTCATGAAGCCCTACACAAGCAACCTGGACCCCAGGAAGGAGGAATTCAAGACCAAGATGGGGAGGTGCAAAATGATCATGGAATGTGTGTTCAGCTATTTAAAGGAGAGGTAACTTTAGGTCAGTGCACTACCACCGAGTCCAAGATCAGCGATTTCAGAGCAAAGTTCCTGGGGCCATGTCTGCAAGTGTCTGCAGCCATGTGTCCTAGATAACAGGCATCATGCATGCATGAGTCCTCTCCCCCACTCTTCAGTTCCTTCATTCCTTCTCTAACCTAAACGATGCCATGAGAAGGCCAGAATCCCAAAGTAGAGGGAAGGAAGGGAGGGTTGTGGAGCACACATGGGGACACTCATCTTGAAGAATGTCAGTTACTATTGAGTCAAGTAACCTCCTCTTCGAGAGAGAGATGTCCCCATGGGTGCTCCATATCAGGTGACTACAAGGCTATTACTGGTTAGGAAGGTAGGAACTTTGGATCTGGCAGAAAAGTGGTAGAAAGGACCGCTTGAGTGAGTTTCAGGCTGGAGAAATGTCCCTATGTAAATATAAAAAGTCATAAATTATTAATGCTTCAAGTTTATGTAGTTGTAGGCTGCAGGTCAATGGCAGAGCTAGGAATAAATCCGAACTCTCCTAATTCCCTGTTTGTTATGCTAATCAATATTTGTTAGTGTCTTTATGTGATTTTTTTCCAGTGACAACTTCAGAATAAACCATGAAATAAACTGCATGTAAATTGTGATTTAAATATATTAACTTTCTGTATATTGAAGTATTTAGGTATAATGAAACTAAATCAATAAGTGTATAATGCTTTCCAAATGCTTTGCAACTGTATAGTTGGACAACCATGTAGCAGCTGCACAAATGTCTCTTATGGGTACTTTGTGGAGGAATACTAGTGAGGTAGACATGGCTCTGGTGCAGTGTGCCTTTATATAATCTGGAAGGATCACTTGTGATTGGGAGTAACAGAGCTTAATACAGTGTGAAATCCAGCGGGAGAGTCTCTGTGATCAGAGAAAGAACGGTTACATATCTCGTGACTGTTGTTCTTCGACATGTGTTGCTCATGTCCATTCCATGTAGGTGTGCGCGTGCAGCATGCACACATTGTCGGAGATTTTTCCCTCAGAAGTACCCATGAGGCCACCAAGGAGCCCCCTGGAGTGGTGCCGGTATATCGGCCCATATATATATCCCCGCTGGCCCTCCACCCACTCAGGGTATGTCTACACTACCCCGCTAGTTCGAACTATGTGTTCGTGCCTCGTGGAACGAGGTGTACAGATAGATCGGAATGGCTACATAGTTCGAACTATCTAGCCCGTGCCGCGTGTAGCCGCGCGGCACGGGGTTCGAACGGGCATTCCATGTAGGTGACTCCAAAGTAGAACCTATGCAGGAGGGCCGGAGGCTGAAGATTCTGTGGAATGAAGAACTGCCCTGCCCAGGGCGGCGTCCTCTCTGGCCTGGTGCATCAGCGCATAATAGTTGGCGAAAGTGTGGACCGAGGACCACGTTGCGGCCCTGCAGATGTCCAGGATCGGGAACTGTGCTGTGAAGGCCGTGGAGGTGGCCATGGCCTCTGTGGAGTGTGCCCTGAGGGGAGGCGCTGGAACCTCTGCCAGGGTATAGCACTCCTGAATACAGGCGGTAATCCAGGAGGAAATCCTCTGTGTTGACCCCTTATACTCTCCACAATGGCCACAAAGAGTTGTGGCGATTTCCGGAATGGTTTTGTCCTATCTAAATAAAAGGCCAAAGCCCTTCTAACATCTAAAGTGTGTAAAGCCTGTTCTCTCCCTGACACGAGGTTTGGGGTAAAACAAAGGTAAGAAAACACGGGTAGGAGGTGTGGAAGGAAGAATCAGGGTGGAGGTGGAGCCTGACCTTATCCTTGAAGAACACTGTATGGGGGGATCCGTGGTGAGTGCCCTGAGTTCAGATACCCATCTGGCAGACGTGAGAGCTACCAGAAGGGACACCTTGTAGGACAGGTACAGGAGGGAACACGTTGCCAGTGGCTCGAACGGGGGCCCTGTGAGTTTAGAGAGTTCCAAGTTGAGATTCCCCCCACCCCGAGAGGCCCAGACGTAGAACCACTTCCACTTGGGGAGGTAGATGGCTCTAGTGGAGGGTTTTCTACTGCCCAATAGGACTTCCTGAATCTGGGCCAAGCACTGAAGCTCCACCGCCATCAGCCATGATGCTTTCATGCTGTCAGGTGCAGTGACTGTAGGTCCGGATGGCAGAGTCTTCCCGAATCCTGAGAAATCAGGTCCAGGAACAGCAGAAAGACCATAAGACTCTTGCTTGAGAGGCTGAGGAGGGTTGAGAACCAGTGCTGCCTGGGCCACACTGGGGAGATGAGGATCAGGGACACCTTGAACTCCCGCACTCTCAGGAGAACCCTGTG